CAGCAGGAAAAGAGAGCACATAAAGCAGCACTTCGTTCTCCCAAGTAATTATTATAGCCATAAACGGTATCATCATCGTCATCATCATCAAAAACAAACAGGCATACAAAATATTATGAAAGCTGGAGATTTATAAGTCGTTATTATGTGAGGACAACATTCCCTACATATGATCCAGCTGCACTCACTCCTCTTCCTCAGCCTCTTCCAGCCAGTTAACGAAGGGCTCCAGGGCCTTCACAAAGGTTTGCCTGTAACACTCCCAACGTATGAAATATTAGCTTCGTTAGTTCAGAACAAAATGCCCAATTAAGAATATAATGGCCTAAATTCATGCAGAATATACAGAACACCCAACCAAAAATGATGTTGAATGCAGTATTGGACAGGAACCAAGCCACTAACCTTTCCATGTCATAATGGATGGTTAAATATCGCATTTTCAACTAGTAAGAAAGATTTCATTCCAGGTTTTCTATTTTTTTTTATTTCCAATTATTATTCTCCTACAAAACAAAAACTTCATCCCATAGTATGCATTATTGATCTCCTCAGATTATTAAGTGAACAGAGCAATTTAGAGAATATAGAACTTAGCGTGCAAGATGCCAAAAGCGAAGAAACTTGGATAAACTGAAGTGAAATAACACAGCAAACCTTGGCCAGAGGACTTTTAAATTCAGTTAACAAGAGCCTTGTTTGTTTTTATGTTGCCTGATAGAGTGAATGAATTGAGCTTGCATACCTGCCCTTGGGATTTGTTCCTTTGCGGAACCAGTGCAGAATGGTGTCTTCTGCAAGCACGTCCTGTTCATAGAGAGACCTCACAATCTCAGGAAATAGCTTCATCAACTTAGCATCCTCATAGCATTGCATCTGAACTTTGTACAAGAGGTCCAGCTCAAGTTTGCCATTTGTGCAAAATGTATTTAAGAGTTCTGCCCATGTCTTTACCTGATTCATGACAAGAAAACTCATCACAAAGACAGCATTATTTCATTAGATTACAACTGGTGACCTAATCAATAAGCAACTGGCATGCAGTTGCCACAGGTTAACAGCGAGCTTTGTACTTAAATAACCATATCCACACCTGCAAGATCTTTAAACTCAAATTGTCCTTTCCTAGTATGTACAATTAGCCCATCAAACTGCACTCTGAAATAAGGTACAGTAGTCTACCTAGACATTATATGTGAAGTGAAAGCATTCAAAAGTTCACAAAGGTTGCCCCAGCACCAAAATTGTTACCAGTTGATCAAAAGAAGATAATGATAAAAGGACTCAGAAATAGGGATGGCAAGTTAATTTGAACCCGATGGATACCAACCTGAATTGATGGATTTTTTATGGATAGCTACCTTACTCAATGGGTAATGGATAAAGTATAAATATTATCAAACCCGACACCAACCTAACCCAGGACATTATATATATATATATATATATATATAGAGAGAGAGAGAGAGAGACCATTTACATTTTTTTTGGGTTGGGTACTATTTTACTTTTTGTTGAATAATAAATCATAATAATAAAATAGATATCCATATGGATACCCGATACTCGCAACCCAATGAATAGCATATGGATATCTAAATTTCTTAACCTATGGATAATGGATAGGATATGAAAATAAAGAAACCCATCACATGGGTACCATCTCTACTAAGAAATTCAAATTTTTCCTTATATGACACTAGAAAAGACATCGCAGTGAGGGAAAAATCACTCATTAAGGCTTAGTCTTCCTAGCATCTCATGTACTCAGCATGTTACGAAAACAGAAATTCTCCAACGACCTTACCATTGCTCATAAGAACCTTAGTGTCTCTAAGTGAAGGGAAGCACAAAAACAAAGTTCACAATGAAAACTACTTGCAAGTATAACAAGTACCAAGAAAAAAATGGATCAAGTCTAGTTTTGCAGACAATAAAAGCAGCAAAATAACTTTATTGTTGTAGGCAAGGGTATTTCTGCAATGTCCAGATTTTCTAGGTCTACATTTTATTTTATCAGTTCCAAAATAACTAGCTTCACTAGTTTTTTCCTATTCTAAATAAACTATTAGGATGCTTTTTACATATAATAAGAAGTCCTTGTAAGACATGCTTTCTACACATGATAACAAGTCCTTGAAGGACTTGGGCCCTGTTTGTTTTTGCTTCTCAACCTGCTTAATGGAGCCTTGGACTGCTAGGAACTCTATAAAAAGGTTATGTAATTGATCAATATAAAGAGCCGGTATAAATAAAATTTCCAAAAACTTGCTTTTGATTGTGCAACTCAATCTTCTCTTAGGTGTGATTTCCACAAATACTAGGTGTGAAGCTTTGGTTTTTCCTCCTCCTAGGCATGACTTCTAGAAATCTATCCCACATCCACATTCAAAGAGAAAAACCACGTTAATCTAGCCTTAAACACTGATCAATAGTCCCTAAACAGCCTCCCACGCATACCTAATCAATCCTACATCAATTACCCATCAAAGATTAAGCCTAAAATCCCCTAAAAAAATATCATATTACAATTCAAACAGCCCCTGTATTCAGACCCGGAACAGGCCCGTAAGCATCCTGTGTCATCTAATCAATTTTCCTTTCTAACTGAAGTATTTCATTCATTTGCGTCAACATGAGTGCACAAGTTCACTGAAAAATGACATCAATATCTTTGGTAATACAAGGAAAAAAAGTGTGCTTCAAGCCATACCTGGCGCAAAGCTGAATTGGCATTCTGCTGCTGATTCTTGCCAGACCATTGAACAGCATCCATTAACACATCCCACAAAATACGCACAATTTCGATGTCTGGTAGCATAGCATCTTTAACTCGTTGTTTCACAGTGTCAATGACTTCAGACATCTCAGCTTCCTCAGCTATCTGAGTTGTTAATGCAGATTTCATTTCCTTCAGCTTCACCTCAAATATTTTCTTTTCATTATATTCAACCAAAGGTCTCAGTCCTTCCTTGCTGAGGATCAACAATGATTAGATATAGAAAAGTTCCAGATTATGGGTAATAAAAAAATTAGTGTTACTGATGAAAGACAATGCATGCAAAAAACAAGTGCTAGGGAAGCACGAAGACTATAAATTTGTGCATGCTTTGAGAGTTCAAATGAGACTTTTAGATGGACGAGTTTTCATGCAACTGAATAGATAATTTATTTGTGCATAATTAATCTTTATTGCACTCTTATAGTCATTTCCACCCAAGGAAAGAGTTTGGGTGCATTGTTGGAACATAAGCCAACAAATTAAATTGACAAAACTGCAACAGATAGGAAAAGTCAAATGGGTCAAACTAGCATCTCAAGATCTAAAACATGGAAAAGAAGTTGAGGCAGAGCTTAATTCACTTAACAATCATGAGAAAAGCTATCTGTATCAAAACTTGGCTACCATGTATCATGAACCAAAACCAAGCAGCATAACATCAATCATTTTACTGTTGATGTTGTAAGAATATCTTTTTTCTTTGGAAAATATTTACTTCGCAGAGGAGATAGCACTACTCTTCTGCTCCAAGCTACAGCTAGAATTTTGTTCACATTACGTCAAGGGATGTCAACTGAAACTTTTTCTTCAAAATTTCTCAAGACATTTATATTTCCCAAAAGCATACACACAACCACATCTCACCACACCTGCACACTACCATATGTTGGGCCCAAAATGGTGTGTACTAGATCAAGCATAAAAAATTACCTTTGTCATCTCAGCGACAAGTTTTCACCAAAATAAATCAGCAAATTGAACAAGCATAACCATTCAACTCAAATCAGAAAAGCTAAACATGTGGGCTCTTCTCCATTCCAAGATAACGAAGCATCATACCATTGATCACAGATATCTTAGCCGATATCCAAATTAAACAACTAATTTTTTTTGTTCTTTTCGAAACAATGAAATCTTACCATTTGCAAATGACAGGAAGACAGCCCATTTCTGGAAATGACCAGAGAGGAAACCATCATCCAAATACACATAACAAATGGCATAGTAATTTCAAGGTTAAAAGAAAGACAAGAACCACATAAAGTAACTCAAAGCAAAAAAAGGATCAGAATTGACATGTATAAAAAAGTCATGTATTTTTTCATGGCCATGAAACATTATATATCTAAGAAGAACCACAAATTCTCCACAAAGTAACTCAAAACAAGAAGAAATAAAAAAGATAAGAATCAACATGCATAAAAAAGTCATGTATTTTTTCATGGCCATGAAACATTATATATCCTATCAGAAACAGAAGCATTCAGAAAAATCAAAAGCTTTAAAGGGTTAAATCAAGAAATGCAATAAAGATCCATGCCAATTTTATCAATCAGCATCACAAAGTGTAGATTCGCGTTTGGCAATAAAGTTTATTTTAAAAATTACAAAATAATAAATTATCTCTGAAAAATATTTCATTCTATTATCAAAGAGCAGGTGGGAGAAAACTCACGAGAAATGCTCAGAGAAGCCTTCAGGAGATCGCTTTGCTGATGGGAAGAAGTCCAGAAGGTTCTCCTCCATTTTTCCCCGTTTCAGAATTGAAATCAGATCATCAAGGCTATTATCAACCAGATACACCTTGAAGAAGTCTGTTATAAATGAAAGAACTATCCCTTTGGCCACAAGGTTATCCTTAAGCAGAGGCTGGAAAACAGTCTCCGGTGGCAAACCAGATAATTTCTGGGAGAATGCAAGAGCCGTGAAAATGGCCAGCTTCTTTCTTTCATTTTCTTCAAAAAGTTCCAGTGACTGCAGGAACCTTCGCATAACATTTTCAAGGTTCTTAATGAGAAATGGCTTGCGGCGCAGAATTTTCTGCGTGTAGATTACTGATGGTAAAATGATTTCCCGTGTAGGCTCACAATCTATTATAGAGTAAGGATGGCGTTCACCTTCATCAGGTTTTGTTGTGCCAGGTTGTGTACGGCCTCCTGTGAAAACAACCTGCATGCATATGATAAATTAGATTGTCTGAGAATTTAAGAATTCACTTTAGGTGAAAATATAGTGATATAAGCAATTTGTTGGAATATGACAGTGCCAAACAGCTCAAAATTTCCTCCAAAACAGAACATATATGACAGTAGATAGGAAACCCATTGCCTAAATTACATAGATTAGCATCTGCATTAATGTTGAGCTGAAGCATTTTAGCTCCCAACAATTCCTTTCACATTTAGAAAGGAGAAATCAAGGTTTTTTAAAAAAAAAAATAAACACACACACACTCCAACTTGAAAATCGAAATTAATTTATAGAATTAGCATAGCAATAACATATTAAATGCCTTAAATCCTGCAAAGGTAAATTTCATGCATGCGACTCCAAAATATTTGTTCCTGCATTCCTTAGAATGATTTTTCTTTCATCTTCTGCACATGGACCACCAGCAAGCATATGCAACAAGGATATAACTTCCCTAAATCTTTTTTTTTTTTCACTGAGATTAACATTTCTGATTCTGAAAAAAAGGATTAAGTCTAGTTAAACTACCAACGAAATGCTCCCTTTGATTTTGGAGCATTCTTTAGAAATGATATTGACCATTTGAACCTTCTATATAATAAATGATGAGCTTGCCTCAAAAAAGGTGTCACCGTATCTTGAGAAGTTAAGGTCAGCAGATTCAATGCTCTTAGCAACAAGTTCCTGCACGTTGGGAATTTCAATAAGATCCAGGTGCACAAGTTAGTGATGCATATTCAGACATGACATAAGAAAAAAGATGGTTGGTGTGCATTAGATTTAGGAAAAATAAAAAAGAAAGAAAGAGAAATTACCAAATCACCAGCATTATCCAAGTAAATCTGGACCACTGCATCGGCAAATGCTGCAGGGTCCAGTGGAGCAGCAATATTACGTTTGCGGGTCTTAATCCGCGTGCCACTGAAGATAAAATATTTAGTCAAGAGGTATTACAGAAATAAGTTTTCATAAAAATCAAGACATCCATTGACAAGAACAGACACCATCAGTATCTTAACATGTACCATGTCCATAAACTAAAAATTAGACGTTTTGTACACCAATTCCAAATCCAGATTTTAACTGTAATTAGATCAAGTAATTCAACAAGAAAACAAAAGAAAAAAGAAAAGAAAAGAAATCACACAATTCATTGACTAGAACCCAGGAACCGGAACTCTCCAACTAACTATTTGCATGTTTTTTCTTGGAATACGCGATCATATCCAATAATTTAATTGGAAATTGCCAAATATAAAAGCAATAACACAAGAAGGAGAAGAAAAGACATACCCAAGAGTGGGTCTCTCCTTCGAGCTGCATATGAGAAACAGAACATAAATACAATCAGAAGAAGAAGAAGAAGAAGAAGAAGAAAGAGAACAAAACAAATCAAATACGATAAAAGTGAAAGAACATAAAAAAATTAATTCTAAAAATAAAACGTCAAATAATTAACAAGAATTTGCTTTAAAACCAAATCAAAACTTGAAAGAACCAGACCCTTCTGCTCTAAGAACCCTAAAAGCAAAAGAAACAGTATAAAAGCCTAAAACAAGAAAAGATGATATTTTAGAAGGAAATAACGATGAAAAAATAAAAACACAGATCCAAAAGTAATTACGAATATGGGCAGATCCAAGGCAATCAGGCGTTAGAGAAGATGTGCATACCTCATAAACCAAGATGAAAAAGGGATCTGCGAAGCAGAAGGTCTCTCTGAGATTTGGGGTTGAGATTATCGAGAGAGAGGAACAGAGAGATTTTTGGTAAGATGGGGTTTCGACAGTGATATTATATATTATTATTGATTTCAGTATTACCTAGATTGCTCGCCAGCACCCTTTCTTTCTTTTTATTCTATCCTTAAAAAAATACCTAAAAAAAAAAATTGGAGATCCTTTTGAGGCAACCGTGCAAAAAACATTTATATAAAATTTTGAATTTTAAAAAAAATTATTATTTTAATATAATATATCAAAAATATATTTTAAAAAAATTAAAATACATTTAAAAACTACCATTACTATTGTCTCAAACACTCCATACTAGTTAAAATATTAAAAAAATAACATGTTAAACAATATATTTTATTAAAAAATTTAAAATTGTGATATATTGTATTGACACAAAACAAATAACTTATGAAACTGATTTAAAATATAAAATCATAATAATTTTATTAAATTAAAATAAAATGTAGAATTTAATTTTAATCAACTAAATATTAAACATCAAAAATAAAAATATAACATTCAATTAAAAAAATAATCCAAAAAATATTATTTTTTAAGTGAATAAAAATATTATGAAATAAACACAATACTTCATATTTGACGACATATTAAGTGAAATATTTCTAAAATATTAAGATAAGGATTAATCTTTAAAAAAAAACTAGAATGATAAGCAAAGTTATATTACATGGTATATTTCAAAAAAAACAAAATAAAATCATAACATATTAACTTTACTTGAATCAACCAAAACTTAGGATTTAGGGCATAAGACTTTATAATCTCATTGAACCCAAATTAAAACAAAATTAAGAGTTGAATTATAATCAAATTAAATATTGAAGATCATAAATAAAAAAATACATTTGATTAAGAAAAAGACAAAAAAAAAGTTATATTTAAGCTAAAAAAATATTTTGAAGTAAGCCTAATATATTTATATTTAAGCAATTGATTTAGTTTAATTTAACATTGAAGTTTTTTTTAGAAAAATTAAATTTAACAAAAAATGATAAATAAAAATATTCTAAATAACCTATGTTATTTTAAAAATTAGTGAAAATCATGTAAAAAGTAAATAAAAAAATAACAGAGTTTAATTTATAATTTATTCAAATATTGAAAGATTAAATTAAACAAAATAAGCTTTAAAAAAGGAGAAAAAAACAATAAATGAGCTAGACGAATCTCTTAATCTCTCAAATTCACAACCCATTAAATTATAGACCTAGACTCAATCACAAAGCGTAATCCAATATTAAATGATGAAATCATAATATATATATATATATATATATATATATATTCAAAGTAAAAAAAAATAGCAAATAAGTAAAAAAAATATGAAATCATAATAAAAAATAAATTTTAAAATAATCTCAAATAAGATAAATAGCAATCAAGTTAATAGAAGTCAAATTTGACATATTAAAAAATTAAAGGAGGGTGAAATTGAAAATAAATTTTAATTTTTTAAAATAATTCAAATAAAAAATATAAATTAAAAGAACAAGGACCAAATTCAAAGGAAAAATAAATTGAAGGATTGTTGTGAAACTTTGTAAGGTCAAACGCGAAAATCAAAGAAGAGGGAGAAAATTAAAAAAAAAAAAGAAACAAACCAACGCCAAACTAAAAGGAATCACACTACATGCATCGCTCAGGGAGGTAAACCCCGTCGTGATGAATCGGAAAATATCAAAAAATATTGTTTATGGCATTATAAATCACCATACATGTTACTTAAATATGGAGGGGCGACTTACTCATTGGTGTGTTTAATAAAAGCACTAGTAACTTCTATATATATATATATATTAAAATACAAAATTATCCTCAAAACCAATGAAAATTAAAAATAAAATTACACATAAGCCCCTAATGGTTAGGGAGGAAATTTTGATTTTAAGGACAATAGAATTATTCTACTATACTCTGAAAAATGAAATATCAAAAAAGTGTATGAACCCAATTTAAACATATTTTTCTTTTAAGAGCTATTAAGTAATTATCTTATGTGAAAAAAAAAAACTTATGAAAAGACTGAACTATAATCAATCAAATCTAAAATGATCAATAGACCCTATAACAATATCTAATTACCCTTAAACTTATTTGCACTCTTAAAGTAGCAAAAAATCATACTAAGATAAAAAATCTTTCCAAAACTAGATTTATTTTTTTAGGAAAAAAGAGGACCAAAAACCATTGTCACCAAACTTTTCTTGTCAAATGAAATATTTTTATGTCAAACTTGATTATTTTGGTTTCCATAATTGTAACAACCAAATACTTTTTTATTTCCACAACCATCTTCTAGCTATTTTCTAGTGAGCTTTTCTCTCATTTAATGACTGAAAATAACAAAAGTAAACTTTATAATCAAAATGAAAATGATATAGATTTAGGATTAGATATATATTGTTGTGTCTTACATTTTAATCCTTTGTTTTTTAATTTTATAAGTATACCATAATTTTAACGCTAATTTAATCCAATTAAGTTAAAGAAGAACTAACTTGAAAAAAAAAATTTAAAAAAGGAGGAGGAGGAATAAGCAGGAATGAAGCTTTATGACATAATCCAGTTCTTTTAGTTTGTTTAAGTAACTATCAATTATGTTATTATACAATATACATTATTTATTAAGTATTAT